AGAAAAACTCTCTCTCAAAAACCACACACACACACACACACACACACACACACACACACACACACACACACACACACACAGCAGGGCAGTGGTGGCACACGCCTTTAATCCCAGAACTCAGAGGGAGGCAGAGGCAGGTGGGTCTTTGAGTGTGAGGACAGCCAGGGCTACACAGAGAAACCCTGTCTCAAAAAACCAAAACCACTAGACCAGCCTGGTCTACAAAGAGCTAGTTCCAGGACAGCTTCCAAAGCCACAGAGAAACCCTGTCTCAAGCCCGCCCCCCAAAAGAAAATCAAAACACATGTGACCAACCACCCAACCAACTAACAACAAAAAACCCAAGTAGCCACGACAAGTTCCTTTGGACATAGGGAGACAATAACAAGCACCGGGAGATGGTGCACAGTGTGTGTGTGTGTGTGTGTGGGGGTGTGTGTGGGGGAGATCAGGACGCCATGGATGAGGATTCCAGATGAATCTGCAGCCTAAATTTAAAAGTCACTGCTGTGAGAAATGAGTGTTGAACTGGTATCCATCTGAGCTTAGACAAGATAGATACTTGAGGGGTGCTCTGTTTTGCCTTTCATCTTGTAATGGATTGTCAACTTACACAAATTGCTGTTTAGAGAGTCCGCTTAGATCCAGCATCATGTCCCTTATGGAGGACAGACATGCTACTCGGGAGCTTCAGCCAAGATCCAGAGCTCTGGCTCTCCCTGCTAGACTGCAGTGTGTTGGCAGCATTTTAGCCATGCTGGGAGGTCGTTGGTTATGGGAGAGAAGGGAGAATGAGTTAGGTTGGTTATGGGAGAGAAGGGAGAATGAGTTAGGTTGCTTAGAGGGAGCATTTCGATAAGGAGGGCTGACACAAGCCCGAAGTCTTAGCTTTCAGGCAAGGGTTGTACTGAAAGTCAGGAGCAGAACTGAAGGCCAGAGCTAAAGGGTTTGCAGTGTGGTGCCTCTTCCCCTAAATGACCTTTTCAGACACAAGTTGTGGTGCACAGCTTGTAGCACACAAATGTGAGGTGCTGTAGTGCACAGCTCTAGAAACTTGGGAGTCCATCTAATGTGGAAGACACAAGCCCACCCCCGCCTGGTTGGTATGTGTGTCAGAGTGTTTGCACCCAGACTATGCTGCTTTGTGTGCTGTCTTCTCAAAGTCCCTTGTCACCATGTGAGCAGAAACTAAAGCTGCAGAGTGGAGAGACAACCAGAGAAGAGAAGCCACCTGCATCGGCCCAGTCCACCCCGAGCAGCACCCCTCACTCCTCCCCCAAGCAGAAGTCCAGGTGAGTCCTTCCTTTAGGAAGCTGGTGCTGAGGTGGTGCTGGCCTCCAGCCTGTGGAGGACACTTCTTATGACACAGGAAGACGACACTCAGAAATATCTCTATACTTCTCCGTTCCAGAGGTTGGTTCCCTTCTGGCTCCTCCACAGCCTTACCTGGCCCAAACCCTCACACCATGGATTCTGGGAGTGGAAATGACAAGAACTCAGCAGACAAATGGAGCCTCTTTGGAGCCCGGCCCCTGCAGAGGTCTGACTCTGGTAAGGCAGCTTCTTCAGAAATCGTAGAGAGGCCCTGGCTGCTGTTTGGGTGGGGAGCTATAATCGTTTGCTTTTCCTTGGTAGGTTTTGCTGTCCAGGCTTACAAAGGTGCCCCCAAACCCTCTCCTATGGAGCTAATGCGTGCCCAGGCCACAAGAGGAGGTGAAGACCCAGCAACCTTCAAGCCGCCTAAAATAGATGTCCCAGTGGTAGAAGGGAAGAAACCACCACCTCGAACCCATAATCTCAAACCCCGTGACCTGAATGTGCTCACACCCACTGGCTTCTAGAATGCTTTGTGTCCAGGGTCTGCAACTTTCCCTGGGCTCTGACATAGGAGTGATGTAGTTAACAGGAGGCCTGAGTGACATTGTGCAGATTGTCCTTGTGTGAGAGAAACCATTTTGGATTGCTTTCGGGTTGGTAGAAAACATCAGTGGTGCTGAGTGGGGACCTCTTTTTTTTAATCATTTATCCTAGAGAAGGACTTTGACCCTTGCTCTCCTGGGTAAATAGTGCTGGTGTGTTTCCAAAACTTAAGGCCTCTTGGTTGTTTTCCTTTGATCAACACGAGCAGTTACAAATCATGATAGAGGTGCCCAGCAACTGTCTGGACAGCCATGGCTTCCTGACATGCTTTAGCTTTGTGAGTGGGCCTGGACTTGTCTGCGAGCTGGGTCAGTTCATGACCACAGTGGCAGACCCTGGCTTTCTAAGCTGGATCCCAGGTTCTTTTTTTCATTGGTCCAGTGCACACTTGGTCCTGGCCGCTGCAGCTGGAGGACTGTTTATCTGCTGTGTCTCAGAGCAAACACTAGCCTAGTCTCGCAGTCTCTTTTGCACTTTAACATGAACTTAATTGAAGTCCTAATCGAGTCTACTGGTTTCATACTGATAAAGGTTCCTTTTCCTCCCCTCCCTTACTGGGGATGAAGCCGGGTTTTGCTCAAGCTAGGCAAGCGCTCCAACCACTGAGCTTCATCCCTAGTTCCTGGATCTTATTTTAGTTGTGTGTGTTTTGTTTTTTGAGACAGGGTCTCACTATGTAGCCTTAGCTAGGCTGGAACTCTCTCAGTAGACTCACAGAGAAGAGCTACCTGCCCCTCCTCCCAGTGCTGGGATTAAAGGCATACACCATCACACCCAGCTTAAGCTTCTGTTAGAGTAAAGAAGATGACAGATACAATTGGATTATTGTCTTCAGATTCACATGAACTTGGTGTCACCTTATTCTGATAACTTTGAGGCCATTTTCCACCAAGTTAGCCTCATATGTTTAATAACACATCTTACTAAGCAAAGGAAGCAAGAAAATGCCCTTTTTTTCTTCTCATTGTTCACAGGCCTGTTGGTCTTGCACACTGTCACATTCGCTTGCTAGATCATTTTAGATAGTCTGTTTATATAATGAGTTAACTTTCTCACAGAGAAGCTCTGGAGCCCAAGATTGTTGTAAAAATTAATTTATTTGTGTTATCTTGTATTGACAATAAAAATCTTTACTACTTTCTCAATCCTGGTTCTCTCTTGTCCACTCTGCCTGCCCCGTAGTGGAGTCTGGCGCATTGTAAACTTAGTACCTTTTGTGCTATCTTTTTGACATCAGATGCTTCATTAACAGGCTCTATTCTTTGTTTCTTTGCCTGCTTTGTTTTTTAGCTTTAATTAACTGACCACAGAGTCATATCATAGGCAATATGAAAAGTCTAATATAGAATGTGCTCTATTCAGGAAAAACTGTCTTTCCAGAAACAGGACGTTAGTACCTTGACAGATGTAACACTGATGAGATGGTTTAGCCGAGGGTCTTTCACATCTTGAATGGAAATGTTGGACATATAGTGCAATATCGTATTGCCTGTTTCAAAAGCATAGATAAATAATTTAATAAAAAATATATACACCTTGTATGTTTAAGACACATTTGAGTATGCTAGGATAAGGATTATAAAAAAAAGATCTACTGAAGAAGAGTTATAAAGTGATTACAGCCTACAGATAAATAGGTTTGGTCCTTTGATAGTCCACTTCAGAGCTTCTAAGTAGCTGGCGACAATCCGGAGGTATTCTTGGTACTCAGTGCTTACAAGTCTGGCTGCCTCAGTGCTGTGAGGCAGGCTCTGTGTCAGGGTTCAAGTCCGCAGCATAGAAGAGTAGCAGCTTCAACAAGTGCACTTTGTCTTGGAGCTGGGGGACCAGGGGTTCTCCCAGTATGTGGGTCAGGCGGCTGCGGAAGGCCTCAATCTGCTTCTCCACATCCACCACTGTGATGTCATCTCCTTGTTGGGGCTTGGGCTTGATTCTTTTGATGATCAAGTCTTTTCGATCAATCACTGAACTCCGTAGGTGCTCTGCAAGAAGGAAGGAATCAAACGTCTGCTTTTTGTTCTTGGGATTTAAAAGTTAAAGTCAAATGGGCCTGGCTGCTAGGCAACAAGTCAAAAGCTCAAGTGAGTTACTGTGGAAGCCCTGTTTCCTAAAGGTTTGTGTTCTTGCCTCAACACTGATTGTCAAGAAAAGCCATTGCTGGGCAAGGCAGTCATGACTAAGTAGACCCTGTCTCAAACAATTAAAAAAGGAAAACTTGTAGAAGTTATTGTGTGTGTATACCATGTATGTGCAGGTGCCCAGAAGCCAGAAGAGGACATCAGATTAAACTGGAATTACAAGACAGTTGTGATGTACGTGTTGGGAACTGAACGGCAGTTCTCTGGAAGAGCAGTAAATGGTCTTACCTGCTGAGCAATCTCTCCAAGAAACTTTACTTATTAAAATAGTTTAGTTCCTTTCATTTGACTTAAACAGTAACTCTGTACTTTAATAACCACTTAGGGAAAAATTCATGTTTTTGTTTTTTTTGTTTTTTTCTTTTTCACTACTTTGTGTGTTTGGGTATGCCTTTCATTGAGGGTTCTAAAAAATGCACACTATTAACTGTGTTCACGGCCTGACAATGCACCCTTTGACATCTAGTTATAAGGAATGGGTACAGTTAAGTGGAAAGTGCTTGTCTAGTATGTAGGAGGCTTGGGTTCACTCTCTAGCACAACAGCCCCAGACCCCTGAAGTTATAGTTGTAAGAGTATAAAGCAGGAAAGACCCTGTCTGCCCCCAGACAGGCAGGCTGAAATTAAGATATTGGTGATGGAAGAATTATTTTTTCTCATACAAGAATAATAAATTCTAAGTTACTTATCATCAGCACTGTAGAGAAGTGAACCTAGAAGCCTATGTATAGTTTACCCTATAATCTAGGACTTAGGAGGCCAAAGCAGGAGGATAGCCATGAGTTCAGGGCCAGCCTGGAGAGGGGGGCAGGGAGAAAGACTGCACAGCATTCTTGGATGCAGAGCTGAGTAGGTCTGTCTATGAGGTCTCTCTATTTTCTATGTAACGTCACTGAGTTTAAAATCAACCCCAACATAAGCATGGGCAAGTAAAATTTCCTCGTTACTATGTGAAGATAATCTACAGACACCATGACCCATAATGCAGCACTCTTCAGATTCCCAGCTATGCCCTTCATTTTTTTTTAAAAGATTTTATTTATTATGTATACAATGTTCTGCCTACATGTATGCTTGCAGGCCGGAAGAGGCCACCAGATCTCATAACGGATGGTTGTGAGCCACCATGTGGTTGCTGGGAATTGAACTCAAGACCTCTAGAAGAGCTCTTAGCCTCCCTGAGCCGTCTCTCCAGTCCCCTAGGACAGAACCTATGGCCTTGCATGTGTTAGGCAAGCGTTTGATTGCTGATCCTCAGCTCTCCCTTAGAATCCTGTCTAGGATCACGTACTGCTCTTTAGTTGGGAACAGTACTTTTGAAGGGGACAGGTCATTTATTTGTTTGTTTGTTTATTTATTTATTTATTTATTTTGTTTTTCGAGACAGGGTTTCTCTGTGGCTTTGGAACTTGTCCTGGAACTCGCTCTTGTAGACCAGGCTGGTCTCGAACTCACAGAGATCTGCCTGCCTTTGCCTCCCAAGTGCTGGGATTAAAGGCGTGCGTCACCACCGCCTGGCTAGGTCATTCATTTACAAATGGTCTCTGTCCCACAAGTTTAGAGTCAACTTGACAAGTAAACTTGTCAAGTAAACTTGACACTAGAGTCGTTTAGGAGGAGAAAGTGCCTCTGTAAGATTGGTCTGTAGGAGCTGGGTGTGGGTGGTGCATACCTTTAATCCCAGCACTCTGTGAGTTTGAGACCAGCCTGGTCTACAATTGAGTTCCAGGACAGCCTTGGAATTCTGAACACAAAGAAACTCTTGTCTGGGGGTGGGAGGTGGAGCTGAGTAAGGTAGGGGAAACAAGTCCTCCATGGCTTCTGCTTCAGTGCCTGCTTCCAGGTTCCCCTGGTTGATGGGTGGAAGTGAAATAAGCCCTTTCCTCCACAAGCGGCTATTGGTCATAAAGTTCTAGCCCAGCAATAGAAACCCTGACTAGACAGTCATCAGTCTGGGTTTGTGGGGTACTTCCTTGAGATGAGAGCCAGGTCGAGGGCTGTGGGAAGAACAGCTTGAGGCTGTGTTCTCCATACAACATGTCCAGGGGAAATGCTCCATTTCCCGCCTGTGATGTTACTATTTTTGTCAGTCATGGTGGTATATTTTTATAAACCTAGTACCTGGGAGCCTGAGGCAGGAGAATCTTAAATTCAGGCCAATCTGGGATACATAGTAGGTTTCAGACCATCTTTGAAATACAAAACAAAGTCGAATTGTAAAACAGGAAAAAAAAAAAAGAAAAAAACCTATGTACTTAGTACTTTGATTTAAACTTCATTAGTGAGAAGGTCTCCTGTACTGCAGGATGACCTTAATTTGCCAAGTAGCCAAGGGCGACCTTGAATCAGGTTCTCCTGTCTCCACCTGAGTGCTAGTTTATGCTGTGCTGGGACTGAACCCGGGCTTCATGAATGCTTAGAAATCACTCAACCAACTGAGCTATAGCCCAGCCTTTCTAGTGATTTATTAACTTGCCAGTTCTTCAGCCTTACCAAGGTCCTCAACAATCCCTGTTTAATAAAGCCATTCTCAATTGATGAAGTTACTCGACTGTGATCCTTGCCATATACACGGCCCAGTACTACCCAGTCTAACTCTCCCAGCCCTGGGGATTGAACCCAGGAACCCAGGCATTCCAGGCAAACACTCTGTGAGCTACAAGCCCATCTATTTTAAGGTCCTTCACATCTTTTACAGGATGTATGTCCATCTTGCTGCAGATGTGCTCTGTATTTGTATTTCATTGACAGCTGTTTATAATAAAGGTGCTATGAGAAGCCAGGGTTCACCATACAATGGTTTTTTGCTTATCTACACAAACTCCTCACCAGGGGGACCACTGTATTCCTACCAGCTATAACAAAATATGAAGGTTTTCACATCACCACAGTGATTCCAGCTATGCTCCCAGTAGTTGTCATCAAGGAACAATGCTCTAAAATTTTTATTTTGTTATTATTATTATTATTATTATTATTATTATTATTATTATTGGTTTTTGAGACAGGTTTTCACTGTGTAGCCCTGGCTGCCCTAGAACTTTCTCTGTAGACCAGGCTAGCCTCTAATTCAGACATCCACCTGCCTCTGCCTCCTGAGTTTGGGATTAAAGGTGCGTATCACCACCACCTGGCTTCTATTTTAAAAATTTTTTTAAAATGTACTTATTTTTATGTGTGGGTGCTTTGCTTCCATCTCTATTTACCAAATATGTGCTATGCCCATGAAGGACTGGAGAGGGCATCAGGTCCCCTGAAACTGGAGTTACAGTTGTTAGTTACCATGTGGGTCCTGGGACTCGAACCTGGCTCCTCTATAGGGACAGCAAGTGCTCTTAATCATTAAGTCATCTTTCCAGCTTGCATTATTTTTATTTTTGAGGCACATTGTTACTATATAGCCCCTATCTTTTCTTCCTTCTGCTTCAGCTTCCTGGGTGCTGGGATACAGGCAAGTGTCAGCACACCTGCCTAGGATGTGTGGCTTTACTTAGGTTACAAGTGAGACTTTGCAGAGAAGCTGCTCTGTGGTCATGTCCACTGTGAGACTCCTTCCCTTACCTCTCAGCACATGCTGGTAACTGGACAACAGGAACTGCAGATGCTCGACCAGCTCATCCCATGTCTGCCACTGGCTTTTATCTGACTGCAGAGACAGTGAAAGCAGTGGGGAATGAGTGCTTGCCATGACACTCAGACAGCAGGTTAAGGAAAGGGCTCTGGGTGAGGAACTGAAGGAAAAGTAAAGTACCTGACACTTGAGCAGTGATGTGGAGTTGTTCAGAAAATAGAGGGCCTGGGCCAGAGACAAGGGGAGACGGGTGGGTGTCTCACAACTGTGGAGGAATATGATCTCTAACACCTTGCAGCGCAGAAGGTGGCTTTCCATGGTAGTAAAAAACATCTCCCTGTATGGAGAAGAGGAGTAAGCAGAGTTTCATTCAGAGAGCATATGGCATGTTTCCCCTTAGTGTTCTGACATGACGGAGGTCTACACAACCACATGCTGTGACAGAAGTGACTTACAGGAAGAGGGACAGCCTGACACTTAGAAAAGACAAAGCCAGGTGTCCTGGTGCACATCCAGGGAGGAGGCAGGAGGATCATGAGTTTGAGGCTGGCCAGTCGGACCCGAACCCATGGGGGCTTGTGCTTCAGAGTGCTGTCTCCCACTGAGATGGACCCTTGACCTAAAATTCCTAATGCTTTTCATCAGAGATAATATATTCATGGAAAACTGAACAACTTAAAAATACATAAAGTACTTAGCAGTTAGGAACTGTACTCAGCAAAAATGGTGAAATGAAAACAAAATCAAGATAAATAAAACAATGTAGCAAGGCAGGCATGGAGTTGCACGCCTTTTATCCTAGCGCTAGGGTCATAAGCAGGAGGATCTCCATTAATTCGAGTCCAGCCTGGTCTACAGAGCTAGTTATAGGACAACCGGGCTACACAGAGAAACTCGGTCTAAAAAAACCAAAAAACAGCCGGGTGTTGGTGGTGCATGTCTTTAATCCCAGCACTCGGGAGGCAGAAGCAGGTGGATCTCTGTGAGTTCGAGACCAGCCTGGTCTACAAGAGCTAGTTCCAGGACAGCCTCCAAAGCCACAGAGAAACCGTGTCTTGAAAAACCAAAAACAACAACAACAAAAACCAAATCAACCAAACAACCAATCAACCAAAAAACAAACACAACCAACTAAACAAACAAACCAAACCAAACAACAACAAAACCTCCCAACCAACCAACCAACCAACCAACCAGATAGTATGAAACCAAGTAGGGTTTTGGTTCCTGGGATGTAAAGCTAATTAAACTTTAAGAAATTGATTAACAGCTGGGCGTTGGTGGCACATACCTTTAATTCTAGCACTCAGGAGGTAGAAGCAGGAGGATCTCTGTGAGTTCGAGGCCAGCCTGGTCTACAGAATGAGTTCCAGGACAGGCTCCAAAGCTACAGAGAAACCCTGTTTTAAAAAACAACAACAACAAAAATAACATAATTCCCCACATGAAGAGAAGAGGAAAAATTATGATCATCTCAATAGATGCTGAACTCCTCAGTATTTATTTATTCTTTAGAAACTACCAGTCAAATAGAATTTGGGTAGGTGGCTAATCTACCCCTTCTGAGAAAATATTAATGTTAGCTTTTATTTAACTATTTTTGTCTATTCCAAGTCTAAGCTTGAAGGATGACTTGTAATCAAATCACTATGACAGAGTTCCCTGTCAGTGTCCTGCTTCTTCCCAAAGAGTCATGCCTTGACTGCAAACTCATTATTTGGGAATCTCCTCCTTTCATTTCAAAGACATAAGTAGACCCTCTACTCCTTTCTTCCTTTTCAATTAGTTTCAATTCTGTTTCTAGCAGGCAAAGCTAAAAAAAAAAATTAATAAGAAAATGACTTGTTGGTTCTCCTTTAATGGAAAAGCCAACCAAAACCAAAACAAACTCATCAAACTAGACTTACCTCTGACTCCTCTCAGGAATGTCCAGCACAAACCCAAACATCATCTCAGCTATTTTATTGGAGCTGCAGGTAGGAGTCCTGTCAACCTCCACAGCGATGGACAACATCCTCTGCAGCTGACACACAACCCTGGAGCCAGAGCACAGGGTACCAGTGAGTGGAAAGACTTGGGGAGAGGCTTCCTGAAGCAGAAGGTCCCCACCCACCAATGTATACCAAGAGCACACTGCTGGGTATGGAGGCACACACCTTTAATTCCATCACTCAGAAAGCAGAGGCAGGGAGGCCTCTGTAAGTTCAAAGCCAGCCTCGCCTATATAGTGAATTTCAGGCCAGCCAGAGTTACATGGTGAGACTCTGCCATAAACAAAACAAAACAACCCCAAGTAAACAGCAACAACAACACAATAAAAGAACAGACTATTAGAGGGTTGGCAAAACACACACCAGGCCAAGGAGAGTAATCAAGTTATTAGCTTGCTCTCATTGTGCAATTCATCCACCTGAATTCTTTTGCCAGATCATATGTGAACCTTTCAGAATGTGAGGGTGCACTACATAAGCAAGATGCTCTCAAAAGCAGAACCACACAATCCATAGGGTCTAGAGAACTTTAAAGACATGGTAACTTCCCCACTTTGTAAATGAAGAAACAGGTCCAAAGTGACTAACTGTATTTATTTATTTGGTTTTTTAAGACAGGGTTTCTCTGTGTAGCTTTGGAGCCTATTCTGGCACTCGCTCTGGAGACCAGTCTGGTCTCCAACTCAGAGACCCGCCTGCTTCTGCCTCCTGAGTGTGGGATTAAAGGTGTGCGCCGCTGCTGCCACCACCCAGCATTTAATCTCTTTGTTATGGGAGAAGGCATGCATCTGACATTAAATTTTTTAAAAATTAAATTTACTTAATTACTTTTATGTAGAATATTTTTTTGGGCAAATATGTCTATGCACCGTGTGCATGCCTGGCTCAACAGTTAAAGAGCACTGGCTACTCTTCTAGAGGACCCAGGTTCAATTCCCAGCACCCACATGGTGGTTCATAACCACCTGTAACTCCAGTTGCAGGGAATCTAGAGCCATTTCTGGAGCCCTACCAGATAATGTTTTCAGCAGTTGTAATAACTGGTTTCAGAGTGTCCCCTAGTGGACCTTCACCTTTTCTCTCACCAGATGAAAAATACGGGAGAGGGGCAGAGACGCAGCTGGGAAACTGGGCAACACTCCAGAAGGGTGAGTCTGGTTTGACACAGTCATTAAACACATATGGTTTGATGGAAGGACATTGTTTCAGAAAAACAAAAAACAAACAAATAAACAAACTCCAGGCAGTGACAAAATTGTCTAGAACAATATAGACAAGGGTAGGCCAGATTCTGGCTCTACAATGACTCATTCATAAGCTGATATATTGTCTCTATCCAAATCTAATCTTTTTTTAACATAAGGACAATTAGAGTTTGAGAGAAAACAGGGTAGGCAAGTGAGGTCTTGGCAGCCTGCCAGCCAGGAGGTAGGTGATGGTTCAGAGTTAGAAGTCAAGGGGCAAGAAGGCTCATCAAGGGAAGTCTTTGAGTAGCTACAGGGGATGGGGTATCCGAAGAGGGAGCTGCTGCCCAGAGGGTCGGCAAAGCAGGCTTGGGACTTGAGTTAGTAGCCACAAAAGGGAGCTGGAAAGAGGGGAAGTGACACTCTGAATGAGAACTGGAGTTTAGCAGTGAGGGCCTCTAAGCAGCAGCCCTTCCTCCATTTCTGCTGGTGGAATCCAGGTCCTAATGCACACCTAACAAGGTTTCCACCATAATCATACTCCTAGTCTAGACTAAGAGAATCAGTCTGTTACAAGAGTTGGCAATCTGGCAAGCTGCTCTGTGGGACCAGTCCAATTCTTTTTTTTTTTTTTTAAGATTTTATTTATTAATTATGTATACAACATTCTGCTTCCATGTATATCTGCACACCAGAAGAGGGCACCAGATCTTATAATGGATGGTTGTGAGCCACCATGAACTCAGGACCTCTGGAAGAGCAGTCAGTGTTCTTAACCTCTGAGCCATCTCTCCAGCCCCCCAGTCCTATTCTTTAAATAACAAATCCTCAGAGCCCTGGAAGACAACCCTTTGCTTGCTCCTTACAGCTGATTGGTGTTCCTGGTCAGGTTAGGTTGGGGAGACAGGTGGTCGCTGGCAGCTTTCATGACTCCTGTTCCTGAAGAAGTCTGAGTACCATCTTGGGGCTGTGTTAATTCATTTTCAGTCACTGCTTTGACTAGCCACTTGATAACATCTCTGGAATACAGAAGAGGTAAGAAAGAAAAGGTGGGCACTGCTGTCTATCTGCAGTGTTCAGACCTGCATACTTACAATGGGCTCCCAGGCTAGGAGACCCCTCAAAGGCAGTCAAGGAATATATGTTTTTTTTTTTCCTGAGACAGGGTTTCTCTGTGTAGCCCTGGCTGTCCTGGAACTCACAGAGATCTGCCCGCCTCTGCCTCCCTAGTGCTGGGATTAAAGGAGCACACCACCACCACCCAGCTATTTTCAGTATTTAAGTAAGTCTAATGAAAATCACACATTTAACTGCAGCCTGGTTATAAAAGCAAACTGAAACATAAAACCTCCTCCTGTTTTTCTTCTTCTGTGGTCCTGGAGGCCGAGCCTAGGCCCTGTGCATGCATGTTAGCCAAGCCTTCTGCCCCTGGGCTGTGCCTCCAGCCCTCGCCACTTTCCTGTAAGTTCTATATTAGTTCCGTTTACCATCGTGGCAAATCCATGACAGAGATACCTTAAGGGAGGAGGAGTTTACTCAGCTCCCAGTTTTAGAGGTGCAGTCAGGGGGTGCTTGGATGAGTGCAGTCAGGCGGAAGAACATCCAGGGAGGGGCATGTGGCAGAGGCTGTTCTTCGATTCTCAGAGGATAAAAAAACGGAGGAGAAAAGAGGAATGTAGCAAGTGGCCAGTATGAGCTGTGATGTCCAGGACAGCCCCACCCCATGACCCTTCCCCCAATGAGACCAACACTTCTAAATAACACCAGTGTATTGTGAATTCATAAAATGATTAGCACATTCATTAGGGCAGAGCCCAAGATCTAACTACCTTGGGAAACACCCTTGAGGACCACAGAGGTGTGCATTACACATCCCCTCACCTGCACAGTCAAAAGCGGCTATGTAAACTGGAACTACAGACAAGCACCTCTGGGGTAAAGCCCACTTTCTGGCCAGCAATACTGTCTAACAGGGTGGAAAGAGGGACTCGATGACCAGACGGGCCCTCATCAGCTCCACCATCACGCATCATCTACGAAGGTAAGAGCTAGGGCTGGAAGTTGTGAAGTGCAAACACACTTTACATAGCTTAGGCTCTACCAGTAAGGCAAAAACATCTCACATTGTGAAGATTTATTTTGTTGTTTTTCTCTGTGAAACAGCACTAGCTGTCTTAGAACTTGCTTTGTAAATCAGGCTGACCTAGAACTCACTGAGATCCACTTTTGCTTGTCTCTGTCTCCCAAGTGCTCAAAGTGCTATTACCACTCAGCCCTAAAATTTTTTTTTTTGATTACTGATGACTTAAGTAACGAAGATAAATAGTTGCATTGAATACATACAATTGTTTTCCTCCTAAAACTACAGTAACTCTAGAGAAAATAAAATTGTAAAGTATTGAGCTGGGTGCACACCTTTAATCCCAGCACTTGGGAGGCAGATCTTAAGAGTTTAAAGCCAGCCTGGTCTACACAAGTGAGTTCCAGGCCAACCAGGGCTGCATAGAGAGACTATGTCTCAAAAAGCCAAAAACAAAAAAAGGAACCAGACAACCAAAACAACCCCACTCCCCTGCCAAAGGCAACCAACTTGGGGATAATAGATATCATGTACAAAACAGAGAACAATTATCAAAGATAAGAGATGTGTGGGCTGCAGGCCCTTTCTTTTGTTTGCCTCTATCCATTATTATTGATGGAATTTAGACATTTTTAATCTTATGTGTATGCTTATTTTACCTACATGTATGTCTGTGTACCACATATGTACATGCCTGGTGCCCACAGAGGCTAGAAGGCTATTTTCTAGAACTGGAGTTATAGGTGGTTGTGAGCTGTTGTGTGGATGCTGGGAATTGAACCCAGGTCCTCTAGAAGTGCAGCCAGTGCTTTTAATCACTGAGCCATCTCTCCAGCCCTGTTTCTGATTTCTTAACAGCACTTCTGACAGCTAGAAGACAATTTCTTCAAAGTTCTGCACAAAATTTATTTCTAAATATCTAAACTAAACTAAAATAATTAAGCCTACTTATTAGTCAATACATGAACAAAAAGATATTTTCAGACATATGAGATCTCAAAACTTTTACTTTCCATATAATCTTCAGAACAAGGGAGTAACCCTGCTACTTAGCCACGTGGTCAGTTCAGTTCTTTCTAGTGTTTGCTATTTATCCCATTTATGGTATTTAGCAATGAGGACAATCTCATCCCCTCATAGTCTTGGGTTTACAGTGAGTGACTGGGGACCCCCAGCACATCAGTGTGTCTGTGAACAGAACTGCCTAAAACAACTAGACTTCATAATCAGGAAGGCTCTTCTATAAGAAATGCCAATCTACTGATGAACTCAAGATCTGAGCACACAGTTGAGAGATGGTAAAGATGTGGATGGGAGCACCTAGCTGGAAAAGTGGGTCACTGGGGATAGGGCCTTGGGGTTGCATTCTGCTTTGGCCTCTCCCTTTATTGAATTCCTTTGCTTCCTGGCTGCCACAAGCTGAATGGCTCGGCTCCTGCCATGACAGATTGAAAACCTTTGAAACTATGAGTTTAAATCAATCCTCTTTCCTTGAGTTGTCTTTTTCACAGTTGCCAGTGATGCACTGACTAACATGCTGTGTTGCTTGTTACGCACTACAGTCCTTATTCTTGTCAAACCAGAGTCTAGTAGCTGATTACCTGACATTGTGGGGCTGTTTGTCACATGACAGAACGGTGTTTGCAATGGATTGCTGTAGATGCTGCCGCTGTCTCCTCAAGATCTGCTGGAAGTCATCTTCCAGGGTCTGTACTACGTAACGTAGAAAGAGGACTCGTCCGGGCAGAGTTTGTCCCTGTGGAAGAATGGATAAGAAGTCAGGCTGGCTTCTCAGCCCATAGGAAACCATGGGCTGTCATAAGCAAAAGTCCAAGAAAATGCCATGATCCAGCAAGTTTTTCTGTATATAAGGGAGATTTGTGGGAGACAGCAGGAATTTTGAGTCATGGCCACAATAACTACCAAATGGCTGTACCATTTGCATTCTCACCAACAATAAGCCTTACTTATTCTTCACATTCTTGCCTTAAAATGTGTGGTAAAGTAGATATTATATTTCTATCTTAGCCCTTTTAAATTAGTGTTACAGTTTGAATGTGTGTTCTCTTCCAGCTGGTATTCTGGAGAATAAGACTCGACTGGTGTTATTTTGGGGGGGGGGAGGGGGGTTAGGCGGGGCCGGCCTTTAAAGGACATATTTTGATCCAGCCCCCTTTCTCCCTGCTTTTTGAATGCTATTAAGTGAGGGACTTTTCTTCACCACCACACCCTTCTATTGGGATGTTTGACTCATTACAGTTTGGAACAGAGCCAGCCAGCCATGGACTGGAGTCTCTGAAACCAAGAGCCCAAATAAATCTGTCCTTTCAAATTCTTTCAAGTGTTTGTCACTGTTAGAAAAATTCTGGTACAAGTATTCAGCTTATTCATAGTCATGCACAAGGGTACAAAATTGGTCACCCTGTCACAAAATTAAACAAACATTATTTGTTTAATAAGCAAACTTATTAAATAGCTGCTGTTTCCACTCTTCCCAGACTCCGGCAATTACTGTTTTTTTTCCTCTTGTTTTTCTTGGCTTTTGCTCCTTAGCAAGGAAGAGGCATCATGGCCAAAAGAACATCTCATGGTGATCAGAAAACAGAGATATAGGGAGAACATAACATCCCAGAGTGCTTCTAGTAGCCAGCCACCTTCAACCAGTACCAGCCTCTCTAATGACATCAACCACGAACCTACCAACAGACCAACCAACCTCATTCACTCACCCCCCCCCCTTTTTTTTGAGACAGGGAATCTGATTAACCCAGTCTAGCCTTGAACTCAGAGACCCATCCGTCTCTGCCCCCTTCCCCCGGATGCTGGGATTAAAAGTGTGTACCACCTCTGCCCTCTATTTAGCCACCTTTTAACTGCTAAATCTACAAGCTGGGGACAGAGCTTTTAGTAAATGAGCATTTATAGGACCTCAGGAGGTATCATATATATATATATATATATATACATATATATATATATATGTATATATGTATATATATATATATATAATTTTTTTCATGATTTACTCATGGCAAGATATACATATTTAGAAATTAATCTATTTCTTCTATATTATTACTATTATTATTGGCACACATTTGTTTAATCTCTAGTGATCTTTTTTCTTTTGGTTTTTGAGACAGGGTTTCTTTGTGTAACAGCCCTGGCTGTCCTAGAATTCCCTTTGTAGACCAGGCTGACTTCAAACTCACAGAGATCCTCCTGCCTCTGCCTCCCAAGTGCTGGGATTAAAGGCGTGCGCCACCAATGCCGGGGCTTCTCTGATGATCTTCTTTTTCATCTCTTATTTATTTAAATATTGTCCTTCTTAAGTTTAGCTAACAGCTTATTTATTTTTATTTTTTAGAGAATGAACTCTGGTTGTGATCTTTTTCTGAGAATTAGGTATTTGAAGAAAGTACCTTTTCTAGTATGTACAGATTGGATTTATTTAGGGCAAGACATTTAGCATTCAGCACAGCTTAAAATTCTGGACCTGTCTGTTTTCTAGTAATAGCTACTGTAAGTATGTACACACATATACTGTCATTCTGTTGCAGGGAGGGCAGAGGAGGATGCCAGGTGCCCTGCTCTGTCACTTTGTCCTATCCCTCTGAGACATGGTCTCTCACTTACCTCAGAGGCAGCTGATGGCAAGCGAGCTCAGCAATCCTCTTGTCTGTGCCCCACAGTTAGTGCCAGGGCTACAGGGATGCGTATCACATCAATCCTTTTACATGGATGCGGGGACTGGAACTCAGGTACTCATGTTTGCACAGTAAATAGTCTTACCTACAGAGCCATCTTCCCAGCCTCATGCACTAGACTTAAAAACTTTTTGGCCAGGTGGTGGCGCACACCTTTAATCCCAGCTCTCGGGAGGCAGAGGCAGGCAGATCTCTGTGAGTTTGAGGCCAGCCTGATCTACAAAGCTATACAGAGAAATCCTGTCTCAAAAAACAAAAAGAAAGAAAAAAAAAAAGAAAAGAAAACTTATTTTTTTTTTTGGTTGTTCAAGACAGGGTTTCTCTGTGGCTTTGGAGGCTGTCCTGGAACTAGCTCTTGTAGACCCGGTTGGTTTTGAACTCACAGAGATCCGCCTGCCTCTGCCTCCCGAGTACTGGGATTAAAGGTGTGCACCATCAAGGCCTGGCCAAAAAAAGAAAACTTTTTGTTCTGGGCAGTGGTGGCTCTGCTGGGCTGTGGTGGTGCACACCTTTAATCCAAGCAGTCAGGAGGCAAAGGAAGGCAGATTTCTGAGTTTGAGGTCAGCCTGGTCTAGAGTGAGTTCCAGGACAGCCAGTGGTACACAGAGAAAACTTGTCTCAACAAAAACAAACCAACCCAAAACTTATTGTTTAATCATATTTATATGAGTGTATATGCATGCGTGTACTCACACATGTGTGGAAGCCACAGGACAACTCAAGGAAGTCAGTCTGTCCTTCTGCCCTGTGGGTCCAGGGGATTAAACTCGGCCTGTCAGGTTTGACACCTTTACCAGGTGAGCATCATGCTGGTCGCCATATATCACACTTTTAACATGCATTTAGCAGGCAACTCTCAATATGTAGCAGTTAAAGGTCAGAAGATAATTTAAGAGCCCCTTTTCTCCTTCCACTTTGTAGAAACAGGGTTTCTCTGTCTAGTCCTGGCTGTCCTGGAACTCTTTGTAGACCAGGCTGGCCTTGAACTCACAGAAATTGGCCTGCCTTTGTCTCCCGAGTGCTGGGATTAAAGATGTATGCCACCATGCCCGGCCTGAAACAGGTTCTCTCTTGTCTTCTGTCTTTTTGTTTATTCCGGCATACCTAACCTACAATTTCTTGGGGGATGCTGTCTCCACTTCCTAACTCACTATGCTCACTTTAGGAGTGCTGGGATTACAGATTTGTAAACATAACAAGTTTTTTTTTTTAACATAGGTTCTGGGATCAAACTCAGGATGTCCTAATTTTACCCACTGAACTATCTTGCTAGTCTCCACGTACTGTACTTTTTTATGTAAATTAATACATTTATTAGAGGCCAAGCAGGTCTCAAGAGGTAGCACTGCTACTGGTCTTTCGGTTCCTTCAGTCTTCGGATGGCAGACTTCACTGTGAAGGCAGAAGTAGTGTTGTAGGTCCAGCTACTTTTAACTGTGTGTCTTGTTTCTCTTAGAGCTCTCTTGCTCCCCCTGGTGTCTGCCTGGGGAATTGCAAACACCATCGGTAGTTAAAATGACATTAGAGCCTGTTTTCAAACCATTCTATTGTTTTTGCCCATGCCCTGACAAAGGTAGGACAGAAACTAATCCCCTAAGCAGCTCCCAGACAAACTGGCACACTTGGAGTATGGTAAACGTGTCCCCAAGAAGGAACTGGAGGTTGAGTGGTTTCTTTCTGGATGTAGCTTGTTACATTGAGTAAGGGGAAGTACCTGAGCATGGTAAACACTACAGCATTGCTACCTCTGTTGATGGAGCACATAGATGGTCATGCATGAGATGGTGTGTCACTGGGGGTGGACTCTGAGGTTTCAAAAGGCTCCCACCACTCCATTCTCTGCCTCCTGCTTTTGCATCAAGATGTGAGCTATCTATCAGGTGTCACGACTTTGCTTGGTCAGCTCGGACTCTCAACTCTCTGGAACCGTAAAGTCAACCTCTACTTTCTAAGAGTTTTGATGTGGTCATGTCTTAAGCGTTGTTGTGCACATGGGACTGAGTTAAGTATCACCAGGAAACTTTTTCCCAAATTGTGCTTCATTTAAGTATGCCTAAAATAATTACCAATTGTCAGACTTTCAAAGTTGTTGAACCAAATTTCCTCCTTCCCTGCCCTGTATCTACATTCTGCTGGCCTTGGTGCACCCAGAGACCCCCCTCCCCCATTCTGCTGACTTTGGTGCATGCAGAGACCCCTCCCCCATTCTGACAGACTATGACCATGCAGTGTTTTTGGATGAATGTGGAAGACTTTGGGACTTTGAACTAAAAAGTGATTAAATGCTGTAAGAGTTTAATGGACCAACCTAGTAGGGGCCTGTAAGGTAGTGCAAGAGCCATGTGAACTTTGGAAGCCCATTCAGAGGTTTCAAAATGGAACAGCATTTTCAACTGAGCTAGAGACTGTTCTTGTGATATTTTGGCAAAGAACATGGCTGCTTTTTGACCTTGTCCTAAGAATCTGCCAGAGGCTACATTGTAAAGTATTAGATGCCTTCATGCCGTCTGAGTCGTGGTTATTAGTAATCACTCTCACTCAAGTCTACAATGATGAAAGGCAAGCAGGGCAGCAGGAAGAAATATAAAATGCAGGGTGACAAGAGGAGCATCCCAGGACATGTAAATGTTGCAACTAACTTGTGCTGAAAGACAGGAGCTTAAGAAGGCCTAAGTAGCCAGGCGTTGGTGGCACAGCCTTTAATCCCAGCACTTGGGAGGCAGAGGCAGGCGGATCTCTGTGAGTTGGAGGCCAGCCTGGTCTCCAGAGCAAATGCTGGGATAGACTCCAAAGCTACACAGAGAAACCCTGTCTTGAAAAAAAAAAGGCCTAACCACATTAGAGTAAATGGAGGGACACCCTCACGAAGACCCCACCCAACTAAGCTTCCAGCTTTTGAAAGGAATTTTCTGCTCCTAAAAACTGCTGCAAATACGCTTCATGGGGGCCAGGCTCCATCCCAAGCAAGCAGCCAAACTTGGCAGTATCCATGTAGTTCTAGCCTTAGAGTCATGAAGGACATGAGTGAAGAGGTTGTGGTATCTTCCTCCACAGTTAAAGAGAGCTGCTGAGACCAGGTATGTGGCAAGGGAGTCCCTACACAGAAGCCCGAGAGGCCATTGCATAAAGCTGTGATAGTGAAGCCTGTGATAATAATACCAGAGCCATTAGACATCTACCAAGGGAAACTGCATGCAAGGAGTAGGACCAGCTCAAGACAGACAAGTATGTTGTAGGCAGCAAAGCCAGAAGAGGGAGTCTCTAGTCCCTTGACATTAGACATGGAGATACAGGATTTGGAGTTTGCTCTCCTGTGTTTCCCAAGCACTTCCTTGCTTGTTCCATTTCCTGCCTTTTGGAATGACAATGTATATTTTGTGCCACTGCAGAGAGAAGTGTGTCATGTGTGCTTTGACTTTATAGAGGGTTACAGTTAAAAGACTACCTTGAATCTCCTAGCAGTCTAAGTCTAAACAGTGCTGAAGCTGGACTGAATGTATTCTGCATTACTATATGGCCTTGAGATTCTGGGGCCAGGGAGTGTAGTGTGGCAGTTTGAATGAGATTGGCCAGTTAGTAGGACTGTTTGGGAGGAATGACCAGGTGTGGCATTGTTGAAGAAGGTGTCTCACTGGTGGTGGTCTTATGATTTCAAAAGTCCCCTTCCATCCTCAGTGTGCACTCTCTGCTTCCTGCTTGTGGCTTTAGATGAGAGATCTCAGCTGTTGCTCCAGTACCATGCTCCTTGTCATGACGGTGATGGCTCTTACCCTCTGGAACTGTATGCCGTAAATAAACCCTTCCTTCTTTTATTTCATTGGTTTTTCGGGACAGGGTTTCTCTGCATAAGAGCAGTTGCTGTCCTGGAACTTCCTCTGCCTCCCAAAAGGTGTGTGCCACCATGCCCTAAACTCTTTCTTCTAAGCTGTCCTTGGTCATGGTCTTTTATCACAGCAATAGAACAGTGACTAAGATGTGTTGTTGACACAGTGTCTATCGGACAGCAAGGGCCTGGAGCATCTTAGTTTGCCATCTTACTGATGTCTCTATTATTGTCACAATGCCTTGGCACTCCACTCCATTCCGGAATTACTCTTCTCTTGGTTTTCTTGCCACTGTCACTTTAGAATTTCTCTTTAATATTCTTTTGGATTCCATCTTGTGTTCCTGGGATCCCTTACTTCCTTTTTTTATTGCCACCCCAATTTCCTGAGAAACAGAGTATGAGACATGCTTTCAAGTTTCTGCATATCTGGAAATATATTTAATGTGTATGAATATTTTGCCTGCATGTATGTGTGTACCTCATATGTTCCTGTTGCCCACAGAGGGCAGAAGAGGGAGCCAGATCCCTTGGAACTGTAGTTACAGACGGATATGCACTACCATGTGGGTGATGAGAATTGAACCTGGGTCTTCTACAAGACCAGCAGGTGCTCTAACCACTGAGCAATCCTCCCAGCCCACATCTTTATTTCATCCTCATTCCTAACTCATAGTTTGTCCGAGTATAGAATTTTAAGTAAAAAGTCACTTGTTTGACTACTTTAGGGAAAGCAGCTAGAGTAACTCCAGCAGTTGAGTTGGAGGTCATTAAAGACAGAATGTGGAAAATATTTTTCTGGATTACTAACTTTGCAGCATCTGCTTTTGTTTATTACAGATGGCCATTTCTTTAGACTTTTCACCTATTGTATTCCAGAATGTAGGAGTTAACAGCTCCACATGATTTTCAGCTGACACTCATCCCCCGTGCTGGACTCACCCATCCCTCTCAGCGTATAAACTGCCTTTCCAAGTGGAGGACACGTCTGATGCTTTAATGTGAAGACCTCCTTCCCTGGCTATGACCCCTTCCCATGTGCTCTTGCTCATGCTCTCTGCCCAGCCTCACGACTCATCTTTAGCTCACGCTGTCTCTGCCAGCCTCACTACTCGTCACTCCCATGTTTTCCTTGCACTCTTGCATTTTGGTTCACATGCGTCGTCCTTCCCTTTACTTTCATAGCTATGGAGCATAACTGCATTTTAATATTTATTTATTTGCAGTACTAGGGATTGAATTCAGCATCTCATGCATGGTAGGTAAGTGCCCCACTACTGAACTGTATCACTCACCCTTTTACTAATACTTTTAGCCTGACCTCAAGGACAGAAGACATGAATATACTAATATTTAAGTTGGGAGATGGCATTTTTTTTTTTAAAGTCATTGTTTTGTTTTTTTGCTTTTGTTTTTTTTGAGACAGGGCTTCTCTGTATTGTTTTGGAGTCTGTCCTGGAACTCTGTAGACCAGGCTGGCCTTGAACTCACAGAGATCCACCTGCCTTTGCCTCCTGAGTGCTGGGATTAAAGGCGTGCGCCACCACCGCCTGGCTTTTTAAAGTCTATTTTTGGCAAGGTAGGACTGTCAGCAGGAAATAATGGTGTGGTGGGTAAAGGTGCTTGCTGACAAGCCTGACAACATGAATGAGTTCCATCCCCAAACACACAGGGTGGACACACAGGGAGAACCAACTCCTGCAAGTTGTTTTCTGACTTTTACACATAACATGGTGCTTTCAAAAATACACAACCATACTCACACCCACACACAAATAGATGTAATTTAAAAATTCCTCTGCAAAGGATCTATCTTCATAATTTATGTTACCTCTTCCTCCATGACGTAGGTAAGCAGTTTCCAGTCCCATTCCACTGTCTTGGCATTGGCTGGATGCAGCCTGAAAGTCAAGTGACATCAGTCAGAATTCTGGAGAATTTAGTGGCAGACGGGATAGGGTCTGTAAGACGACAGGAGACAAAGCATCTTCTGACCCTGAGCACTCTGACCTGCCCTCCAGTACCACACCATGTCAGTCTCTGGCCACCATAGCTATTGAGCTTTACCTACCAGGACTGCATGAAGCATGTGATTTCTTGATTTAATTATAATATCCTATCATTCAGTTCACTGTGATTATCTCAAAAATGGACTCATGTCACGTTAAGCCAATTATATAATTGGACTCAGTTTCAGAATTGTTGTGTAATTATGGAAGTTGATTTTCTAACAGAGTACCATTAAAATCTGAAGCTGAGGACTACAGTGTAGAGCCCCAAAGCCAGAACCAAGGCAGAGTTGAAAGTTGGGTTCCTGTAGCCACTTATGAAAACAGTATCAAGTAACATCTTATTCCCAGGTTTCTAGTGAAAATAAATCACTAAATTCTTTTACCAGCAATTGAAGCCAGTTTTGATTGGGTTTCCTGTCACTTTCAATAGACATCATTAAGAAACCCCCAGGTCAGCTTAGTAAAGGTTAGACAAGGAAAGCTGTGCCCTGCATCTACATTCCCTACAAGACTCGTCACCCAGCAGTAATGACTCCTACTGTTGAATTTTCATGAGAAGCATGTAGGCCTCCTTGAGGACATCCACAGTCTCAGAGCCACTGAGCAGGATTTTCTGGATGATGTGAGCCACAATTTCTCTGGGTGGGTAATGTTGGGGTGAGACAAAGTCCATTAAAAACTGCACAGTCCCCAAAGGAAAGTTTTCTTCAATAGTGTTTGTCACCATTCTTAGTCTTCGATGAGGGATGGGTTCTAATTTCTGACCCTTGCTCTGTAGAGACAAAGAGATAGATAGACATCAGGATGGGTTCTGCACTTCCTAAAAGCAAGAGGTTCAGCAATAGGTTGGAAACAGCAAAAATTTCTGTGCATTCGAAATATTTTATTAAAGAGAGAAAAGAAAGCTCTACTTTAGTGATGGTGTTCACCTTTAATCCCAGAACTCAGGAGGCAGAGACAGGTGGATCTCTGTGGGTTCGAGGCCAGCCTGGTCTACAGAGTGAGTTCCAGGATAGTCATGGCTACACAGAGAAACCCTGCTGTGAAAAACAAACAACAGAAAAGTAACAGAAAGGCAAATACCAAAGAGCCAAGAACAGCAGAGAGGGGCTTTGAGTTCCTGATCTTTCTGCCTCCACCTTCTAGATGCTAGGATTATAGGGCAGTGACATTAGTAGACATTTTTAGAGATAAGAAGACTTGAGTTGGGCTGCAGAGATGGCTCAGTAGTTAAGAGCAGTGGCTGCTCTTTCAGAGGTCCTGAGTTCAGTTCCCAACAACCACATGGAGGCTCACAACCATCAATAGTGGGATCTGATGCCCTCTTCTGGCATGAAGTTGTACATGCAGATGGAGCACTCCTATACATTGAAAAAAAAAAAAAAAGACTAGTACTCTGTGTTGCTAGAAGAATGAATACCATTTCTTTCCCCTCCTTTTCACACAATCTTTCTCTTTTCTTTTTGAGAGGGTATCACACAGCCCAGGTTGATAGGGAATTTACTGTGTTTGCAGCAGACAATCGCCTTGAACTTCTGATCCTTCTGCCTCCAGCTCCCAAGCACTAGCATTACAGGCATGTACCACCATGCATGGTTTTTAAGTGTTACAGTCTATAAACAACAAAACCAATAACAAATACATGTTAAAAAAATACCAATCACTAAAAAATTAAATGGTTATATATAAAAGGCAGTTGGAAAGGGACTACATAGAGTTATTTATAATAAATGTTGTCTGATAGCACTATAGGCGACTTTAAATACATTAAAATATTTTTTAGAAAGCACTTTTTACAAAGACTTATTTTCATTTTTACTTCATGTGTGCATAGGTGGGCCTGTGCATGTGAGGACAGTGCTGGAGGTCCAGGAGGTTCTGCCCACCCTCAGAACCAAGCCTTGTTCCTCGGGAAAAGCAGTGGACAAGCACTGAGCTGCCTCCCAGCCCTGCCTTTTTGACTTTTAAAAATTACAGTTTGCTTATTTATTGACTTTATTTATTTGGTTTTTTTTTGACTTTATTTATTTGTATGTGTCTGTTTATGAGCACAGTGTATACACCACAGTGCAAATGTGAGGATCTGAGGACAACTTGTATGAGTCCGTTCTCTACTTCCAGCATGTGGGTTCAGTCTACAGAATACAAGTTGCCAGACTTGGCAGCAAGTGCCTTTGCCTACTGAGCCATTTGCCAGCCTGCCTACCTTATGACTTTTTCTTGTTGTTTTGAGACAGGGTTTCTCTGTAGACCAGACTGTCCTCGAACTCAGAGATCTGCCTGCCTCTGCCTCCTGAGTGCTGGAATTAAAAGTGTGCACTACCGCAAAGTAATCTAAACATATCTTTTTAAGGTTGAGGGTGCGGTTTTGGATTAACAAAAACACTTCATGCTATAAGAGTGTCACAACATTTTTATCCACATATATCTAATTTAGTTCTCATAGGTCAATGAAGACAAATGGGAAATAGTATCCACATTAAAGTGTTTAAATTGAATTTCTATACCCAGATTCTAAGGAATGATGTGAGGTGCTAAAATGACAAGAGTCTCCTTTCCCTCTGTGATATGGGAACTGTATGGATATCAAGAGAAGGATAAAGAATTTAATGAACACATCATCTCATCCATCGGCCCTCTGAGGCGTGTTCTAACCCTGCTTTACAGACAGGGAGGCTAAGGCTACAAAGGAAAGTGACATACATGTGCAGTGCATATGTGTGCTGAGATCTGAACACAGACCTAACTTCACCTTCAAGTAGGGGAGAGAAAAAAAATTCATTTCTATTTGGCCCATTGTCTAATGCATGAACTCTTGTCATAGTGACTTTACCCAGGGCCTACGGGAAGGAGACATAACCCCCAAAGGGATTGAGTATGTTAGCTTACCTCCCGTGTGTCTTTATCAGGTATTAATGTCTGGAAGAAAAGATGATGTACTGGAGGTCGTAAGAAGTATTTCAGTCTATGCAGGCAAGGTCTGTTGTATACCCCAACTTGTGGTATTTGTCCTTGTATCTGGGCAGGCCCAGGGTTGGCAAGCTGTGGCAATGATCTCTCTTTTCTGGCTAAGCTGTCCGTGGCAGAGAGCCAAGGAACTTTTTCTAAGGAAAATTCAGACTGTGGGTTGGTAGAGCAATTCGGAGAGGATGGAGCAGAAATATCCATAGGAGTGTCATGATTCTGCACTTCATCTGGAGAAGTCTTTGGCTTGTCTCTTGCTAAGTTCAACAACCTTAGTGATGAGTGCGACACATCTGGTAAGTGCGGTGTATCTCCAACTGACTGTGGTACACCTCCTGGTGACTGTAACACACCTCCTGGTGACTGCATCACCTCTCCTGGTGACTGTAACATACCTCCCGGTGATTCTATCACCTCTCCTGATGACTGTGGCACACTTCCTGGTGATTGCATCACATCCCCTGATGACTGTGACACACTTCCTGGTGATTGCATCATATCTACTGATGACTGTGACACAGTTGATAGCTTCATCACACCTCCCGATGACGGTGTCACACCTCCCGATGACGGCGTCACACCTCCCGATGACGGCGTCACACCTCCCGATGACCGCATCACACCTCCCGATGACGGTGTCACACCTCCCGATGACTGCATCACACCTCCCGATGACGGTGTCACACCTCCCGATGACTGCGTCACACCTCCCGATGACGGCGTCACACCTCCCGATGACCGCATCACACCTCCCGATGACGGCGTCACACCTCCCAATGACTGCATCACACCTCCTGATGACTGTGTCACACCTCCTGATGTCTGCGTCACACCTCTTGATGACAGAGTCACACCTCCTGATGACCACATCACACCTCCTGATGACTGTGTCACACCTCCTGATGACCGCGTCACACCTCCTGATGACTGTGTCACACCTCCCGATGACTGTGTCACACCTCCCGATGAAAGAGTCACACCTCCCGATGACTGTGTCACACCTCCTGATGACTGTGTCACATCTCCAGATGACTGTGTCACACCTCCCGATGACAGAATCACACCTCCCGATGACTGTGTCACACCTCCTGATGACTGAGCTACACCTGATGACTGTGTCACACCTCCTGATGACTGCATCACACCTCCTGATGACTGCGTCACACCTCCTGATGACTGTATCAGACCTTCTGATGACTGCGTCACACCTCCTGATGACTGTGTCACACCTCCTGATGACTGTGTCAGACCTCCCGATGACTGTGTCAGACCTCCCGATGACTGTGTTAGACCTCCCGATGACTGTGTTAGACCTCCTGATGACTGTGTCAGACCTCCTGATGACTGTGTTAGACCTCCTGATGACTGTGTTAGACCTCCTGATGACTGTGTTAGACCTCCCGATGACCACATCACACCTCCCGATGACTGTGTCACACCTCCTGATGACTGAGCTACACCTGATGACTGTGTTAGACCTCCTGACGACTGAGCTATACCTGATGACTGTGTCACACCTCCTGACAACTGAGCTACACCTGATGACCGTATCACACCTCCTGGTACCTGCATCACTTCTGGTGACTGTGTCACATATCCTGGTACCTGCATCACTTCTGGTGACTGTGGCACATCTCCCAGTAGTGGTGGCATTTCTTGCAGTGACTGCAGCACATCCTGTAGTGACAGCGGCATGTCTTGCAGGGACCATGGTATGTCTTGCAGTTGTGGCACATCCTGTGGATATGACAGGTTTTGAGGTTGGCCTGGAACATCTTGAGGTAGGCCCAGAGTATCTTGGGGTGGGTATAATGGGTGTTGAGGATGCCATGATATGTTCTGACGTGTGCTTGGCATATTCTGCTGAGGGCATGGCACATTTTGAGGAGGGCATGGCACTTCTTGAGGTGGATGAGGCAAGGCTTGGAGTTGGCACTGCACAGTTTGTGACGGACATGAGGAAGCTTGCGGGGGACATGACAAGGCTTGCGGCGGACATGAGGAAGCTCGTGGTGGACATGGCGAAGCTCTTAGTGGGCATGATAAGGCTTGCAGTGGGCATAGCAAGCCTTGAGGTTGGCAAGGCATGTCTTGCTGTGGGCATGGTAAAGAGGACCTCTGATTGCTGCTGCTACTGTTATTGCTTGTTGAGGAGAAGGAGCTAACATCTGAAGAGAGCTGTAGGCTTGTCAAGAAGCTGAGGTCACCTTTGTATGTGATCGAGCTACAGTTTGGCTCTGGTGGATAAACAGAGTCCTGGTTGATAGATGGAGGGGGTCGAGAACCTTCAAACATGTTTTCCTCCAACAAATCCAAATCTACAGGATCATTGTTGACGATTCTCGGTGCTGCAGACTGAGAGCCTATGTCTCCAGGTGTTTCCATCACCTCTTTGCCTGAAAGACTGGTACATGTCTGAAGATTGGGTGGCTCCTTCTGGGAGGAAGCTACAGGTTCTAAAGTCAAGTCAAGAGTGGCAATAGGTCTGTTTTCTTCCTCATTTCTTGTCAGATCAATCACACAGAGTCCATTACGATCTTTTGCCCTTGTTCTGGTCTCTCTAGTTAGGTCAATGAAGTCCTGTTAAAGATTGTGAGAAGAGTGAGAGAAGGGCACAATAACTTTATTTGAGAAGACTGAGGCTTTAGCTTTCAACAATGAACATCACTTCATTTCATTGATATTTCTGTATATGCAGTGCTAGTGATTGAACTCAGGGCCTTGTGCATGCTGGGTAAATATTCTACCTCTGAGCCAATTCTCAAGCTTCCTATATAGCTTCTATAAGTATTAGTTTTATTATTTTATTTTATTTTTGGTATTTTGAGACAGGGTTTCTCTGTATTGTTTTGGAGCCTGTCCTGGAACTCGCTCTGTAGACCAGGCTGGCCTTAAGCTCACAGAGATCCCCCTGCCTCTGCCTCCTGAGTGCTGGGATTAAAGGTGTGCGCCACCACTGCCCAGCTAGTTTTATTTTCCTCATGTAACATTTTGCTAATGTGTTGTGGGATATTATTTTAACTAGATAAAGCTGTGTTAAAATGTTTGTTTATGCTGCAGAATATTGCTTTAACTGTGTAAAGGTGTGTTACATTTGTTTGTGCTGCATGTTTAATTAGGTAAAGGTGTGTTTCATTTGTTTTACCTTGTCTGCATAAGGCACCTGATTGGTCTAATAAAAAGCTGAACAGACAATAGCTAGGCAGGAGAGGGATAGGCGGGCCTGGCGGGCAGAGAGAATGACTAGGAGGAGAAATGGAGGCTCCAGAGAGAAGGAGAACAAGGGGGAAAGAGAAGGACAGGCCCAGGCAGCAGACAGCCAGATATGAGACCTCAGGGAAGGAAGGTAAAATATACAGAAAGCCCCGAGGCATAAGGTAGATAAAGAGAAATGAATTAAAATAAGAGCTAAGGTAAGGCTGAGCATTCATAACTAAGAAGTCTCTGTGTCATGATTTAGGAGTTGGTTAGTGGCCCAAAAACAAAGTCTAGTATACTAATGTCAAAGCTGTCAACTTCTTCTGTACATTCATAAATTATCCAAATAACTCCAGATGTATGTGAGAATGCGGTTTTTTTCCTGATCCAAGAAAGACAGGTAAATACTAGAGAATATTCTATTCTTCACAAACAAAAAGCACCCTTTGCTTGAAAAGCAAATTTCCAGGATAATTTGCAATAGAAGCTAAGCAAGATGGTAAGTTAATATGAGGACCTAAGGTACTAAGAACACACTGAGTGTCACTGGACCCAGGAGTCCCAAAGATTCCTAGTCTCACCAGAGAAGGCTCTCAAGGATGGACATGTAAACAGAAGTAGACTTGGAGGAGGGAAGATAAAAAGTACACTTCTAAAAGGGAGAGAAAAGTAGGCAACTTAGCTGGATAATTGAGTTTTTAAGGGCTAAAGAAAAATCTCCCATTAATCCTACCCATATGTAAGTGTAAATTTTTCTGGAAATTTCAAGGACATTGACAATCAGAGGAGAGGTCTGACTAAACACAAAATGTTCAGAGCCAAAGACAGCACCTGTGTGAAAGCTCAGCTATAATGGAACGCTAAAGAAGGTGACCTTGGGTCTCTGAGTCTCCTTAGAGCACAGTTGAGAGCATTGGCTACTTTTCCAGGAGATTGTGTTAGACTCCCAGCATCCACAGGGTGATTTACAATCATCTGTAGCTCCAGTTCCAGGGGATTGGATATCCTTTTCTGGTCTCCATGAACATAAGACATAAAGCTGATACAAAGACACAGGCAAACATCCATACATATAAAATAAAATAAAAAATATTTACATCCCATGTTCTTGTCTCCCCAATTACTCACGTAATTTTTCTATGATTTCTTAAATTTTCACAATGACACTGCAGGATGATAGTATTGCCATCTCCATTATATACATGCAAAAATTAGTTTTGAGGGGCCAGGGTACTTACCTAAGGATTAAATGGCTAAATAACAGGGGCAGAGATTCAAATTCAACTTTTTGCCTTTGCTGTTGAGGGCCTAGGGATGCATAACTTTTTCCAATATGTAATCAGCTTTATGTCTTTTTTCCTTATAAATGATTTATTTATTTTCATTTTATGTGCATTGGTGTTTTGTCTGCATATCTGTCTGTGTGAGGGTCTCAAGTACCTTGGAACTAGAGTTAAGGATAGTTGTGAGCTGCCATGTGGGTGCTGGGAATTGAACCTGGGTCTTGTGGAAGAGCAGCCAATGCTCTTAACCACTGGACCTTCTCTCCAGCTCCCTGTCTTTGTTTGAGGCAGGAACTTTGTAGCTCTGGCTGGCCTGGAACTCACTATGTAGACCAGTCTGGCCTTGAACTGACAGACATCCACTTGCTTCAGCCTCCGGAGTGCTAGGCCTAAAGGCATGCAACACTACACCTAGCCTGTAATCAGCTTTAAAAGAGATTGTTTCTAAAACAATAAAAGCAGTGGTCTGAGTTTTAACTAATGAAAACCCACTAATCTTCATTCCCATTCCTCAGCAGGTTGATCAAACAAACTGTAAAGCTTGATGATGCCAGCCCAAGGTATTGTCACCACCTGTTGTGCCAGGAGCTTGGAATAACACTGTTGGTCTCCAAGTGTCTTCTCACCTGGTTGGTTATCAATATACTATTGCCACCATACAATTGATGACTTTTAAATGTTATTATTTTAGTTAGCATACAAAGTGTTTCACTATGTTGCTTTTCTACAAATGTTTTCCTCTTGGTGGTCATGAAATGTTTTCTTCATCTCCCCTACTCCTTGTTGGCACCTTCTTTCCCTCTGCTTTCATGCCATTTCTTAATAGACGTGAAAGTCACCACAGTCAACAGGTTCAAAGACATGGGGCTCTGAGTGGGTCAAGTGCAAATCTGGTGAGTACCTTGTCCTAGAACAGGAATTGTTTGGCAAATCAAAACCCTCTGTTTCTAGGAAAGAATCATACTGCATTGGTGCCTTTGATGAAACTCAACAGCCAGCTGAATATATGAAGCTGAAAGTCTACTCCAAAGGTCTGAATTTAACTCACCTCCCATAGCCAATTGCTAGAATGCAACAACATCAGGTTGAGGGAATAGCTCAGTGTTAGAGTACGTCTTTAGCTTGCAAAAGACCTTGGACTCAATCCCCAGCAACAGATGCACACATACACACACATAAACACAAATACATACACATCACATGTCACTCCCATTTTCAACCATCATGATATGAACTTCAGGATTAAAGTTAAATGCCTTAGTAAGATTCATAAAGGTTCTTCATAAGCCTGGTACTTACTTCTAGTCTGTCTATTCCTTATCACAGGATATATCCTCCCCAATGTGCTAAATTTCTCAAGAATCTTTTATGTTTGCTTCTGCTCTTTCACCTGCAGTGACTATGGTCACTTTATTGATTTTCTAACTATTTCCTTTGAATTCCTCTTGTTTTTCTAGTTATACATCTTTTAATTCTATTTTCAGTGGCTGACCTGGGGATTACAGTCTAGAAATTCAGTATGTTCTAGTGTATGCTTAGAAAAAAATTGCATTATTTAGGGTAAAAATATAGGCACCTTAAGAGATATTGTTTACTTTGTTCCTTACCCACATTTTTATGGTGAATATTTATAAATAACTTTATACTAATTTAAATATATATACATGCAAATTCCTCAATTTATTACTCTGTAAGGGGTCCAGAGGTCTTTGTGCTCATAGACATGCAGTAGGGGAATCTGGAATATTAAGTACACAAGGCTGTTCTTTCAAGAGACTAGAGATGAAACCTGTTTTCTACCCAGAAGGCTGAAGTGGATGTGCTTTCTGGCCTGATGACCTTTGCACTATCTTTGTAGCCCAGGGCTCCCTGGCACTGAACTCTCAAGAGCCTCCTCATAAACTTGTTTTCTCAGTTAGTCTATAGCATCTATCTTTACAGAAGGTGTCACATGTGCTTCGCAGAGTTTCGATGTAGTCACGTCTGATCTGTATTTAGTTTACTTTGTTCCCCAAAGAAACTTTAGATATGCTTTGTTGTACACATGGGGTTGAGCGAGCCATCACAAAAACAGTTTTCACCAGACTGTGCTGTGCTTACATGAACCTTGGGCCAGAATCCCAGTTTGAATCAGCACTGGCTACTGAGTCGAGTTACCCTGACTCTGTCTTCCCACACGTTGTCACTCTGCTGCCCGAGAAGGTGGCAGAGATCACCACATTCCTCTACTTCTATTGGTTTCTGTTACTGTTTTTTTCAGACAGGTTCTAAAGCCAAAACTAGCCTCAAATTTGTGATAATTCTGTCTCAATCCTCCTGTAAGAAGTAGTTATTACTACACTTTTCAAGCAAGTTATTGTTAAAGAAACTATCTCTATTACTTATTTATTTATTGTTTTTCGAGACAGGGTTTTCTCTGTGTAGCTTTGGAGCCTGTCCTGAAATTCACTCTGTAGACCGGGCTGGCCTCAAACTCAGAGATCCACCTGCCTCCCGAGTGCTGGGATTAAAAGCACATGCCACCAACGCCTGGCCTCTAGATCCTATTTCTTAAAGTGTTAGTTTTTAAGCTTATATTTAGAATTTCAGATGCTCTTCATTTCTTTGTGAAAATATGTATTTCCACTTGATGTCATTTGTTTTCAGCCTAAATATCTTGCAATGCAGGAGTTCTAGTGAAAAGTTTATATTTAAAAATGGTTTTAGTTTGCTCTTATTCTTGGAGGTAATTCTGTAGACACAGAATTCATTTTTAATTAATTTTTTAAATTAAAAACAATCTTATTTTACATACCAATCCCATTTCCCTCTCCCTCCTATTCTCCCATTCCCCCCACCATCTCCCCTTCCCACCCTCTGACCACTCACCAGGGAGGGCGAGGCCTCCCATGGGGATCATCAAAGTTTGTCACATCTTTTGGGGCAGGACCTAGGCCCTCCCCGTGAATCTAGGCTGAGAGAGTGTCCCTCCATAGGGAATGGGCTCCCAAAGCCCATTTGAGCACTAGGGATAAATACTGGTTCCACTGCCAGCAGCCCCATCGCCTGCTCAAGTCCTTCAACTGACACCCACTTTCAGGGGGCCTGGTTTGGTCTTATGCAGGTTCCCCAGCTGTCAATCGACACAGAATTCTTTTTTGTTTGTTTGTTTGTTTTTTTGAGACAGGGTTTCTCTGTATTGCTTTGGAAGTTGTCCTGGAACTTGCTCTGTGGACCAGGCTGGCCTCAAAATCACAGAGATCCCCCTGCCTCAGCCTCCCAAGTGCTGGGATTAAAGGCGTGCACCACCAATGCCCGGCCTCAACACAGAATTCTTAACTGAAAAGTTTCTTCCTTCCATTATTTGACCATGTCAACCTGAGTCTTTTGGCCTCCATAATTACAAAATGTTAGCTGTTAACTGTACAGTTGTTTTAAATGTGTAACACACACGTTTTCTCTGTGTAGATAAAAAAGGAGTTTTGTTTGTTTATTCTTCCATGTGTCTTATTTTTTGGGGTCTGTACATTAATTCTCCCACAATCAGATATGATAAATTTCATCAATTGTTTTTTTTAAAAAACATTTCTCTCATCTATTCCTGTTCTTTTACTGCTTTATGATTATTGTTATTATTATTTTGGTTTTTCAAGACAGGGTTTCTTTGTGTAGCAGTCCTTGGCTGTCCTGGAACTGGCTCTGTAGACCAGGCTGGCCCCTAACTCCCTAAGATCCGCCGGCCTCTGCATGTGTCACCACCTGGCTGTCCCTGCTCTTTAAGACTCCATGGCACACATATTACCCAACATAATAACTATGTGCTTACGAATTTATTTAATCTCCCTGCCCATTCTGTTTTGAACTTGGTGATTTCTATTGATTTGTCCTGAACTTCCATGTTTGCGCTCTGTTACTGTCTTCCAATTTTCTGATGAGCTCACCTAGTATATTTTTAAAAACACTCAGTTATGACAGCTCTTCACCGATCCCTCCCCCCCTCCAAATCCAGCCTCTCCCCCACCAGTTTACAACAGACAACCTGCTTCAGCTTCCCACCCACCACACCCCCATCTCCAGGGGATCACAGACCTTCCCCTCCTAACCGGCCTCCCACCACTCACTGCATTACTCTAGCCCCCAACTCCAAAGGTTTCGGAAGATATCAGCAGATGGAAAGATTGTCAATGCTCATGGATCAATAGGATTCATACAGTAAAAATGGACATCCTAACAAAAGCAATCTACAGATTCACTGTAATTCCCATGAACATTCTAACACAGTTCTTCACAGATCTTGAAAGGACAATTCTCAATTTCATATGGAAAAACAAAAACCCAGGATAGCTAAAACAATCCTGAACAATAGAAGGACTGCCAGAAGCATCACCATCCCTGATTTCAAGTTGTACTACAGAGCTGTAGTCATAAAAACCACATGGCACTGACATAAAAACAGACACACATTGATCAATGTAACTGAACTGAACACCCAGACATAAATCACATATCTATGGACATCTGATTTTTGATAAAGAAACCAGAAATACATATTGGAAAAAAGTCTCTTCAACATATGGTGCTGGTCGAACTGGATGATTGCAATGTAGAAGAATGCAAATAAGTCCACCCTGCACAAAAGTCAACTCCAAATGGATTAAAGATCCCAATACAAAGCCAGACACATTGAACCTGACAGAAGAGAAAGCACAGGCAAAGACTTTGAACAGAACACCATTAGCACAGGCACTAAGATCGACGATTACTAAATGGGACCTCATGACACTGAAAAGCAAAAGACACCATCATTCAGCCTAAGTGGCAGCCTACGGAACGGGAAAAGATATTTACCAACTACACATCCCATAGAGGGCTAATAGCCACAATACAAAACAAAACAACCTCAAGAAACTTGATATCAAGAAAACAATCCAATCAAAAACTCTGGTAGCATATATTACATTGTACAGAACCTTCCCTACAAACATCCCATCATAGTCTTCAATAGCAAAAGCAAAAGAGACCCAGCTGAATCATTTTTTTATGTTAGAATAATATGACGCTGCTAAATTACTGTGTACCAGGATCCATATTATATACAGGGAATAACATTATCAACAAAATAGCCTATAATCTGAATGGTGTAGAGATGTTCAATTTAAATGCCTAAAGTTATTATGGGAGTTTAAAAAATCACTACAGTCTCAGAGCTGGGGATATATCCCAGTTTGTATCATGCCTGTCTAAGAGACATGAGTCCCTAGGTTTGATCTCCAGCACCCCATAAGCCAAGTATGGTTGTACACGCTTGCAGTCTCAATAGGTGGAAGAAGGGGAAATCAGAAGTCAAGGTCATCCTCAGCTACCCAGCAAATCTGAGGCTAGCCTGAGCTACATGAGACCCAGTCTCAAAAAAAAAAAAAAGTTAGTACAACCCCATTAGAAAAGAATTAGATACAAACATTTGTGCATACATAAAGGAAGATTTTCTATAGTAATATACACAATAAACTGTAACTCTCCAGACAGTGGAAATAGGCAAGTAAGTCATAATCCAAAGTGGTGAAAATTTACTTTCCCAAACATGATTGTGGACCTTAAGAACAGCAACAAGGTTTCCTTATGGTAGATGCTTTTTTCAGTTACGATGGCTGTACAATTCAAGGTATTGTGTGGATGAGTTTTATTATATGGAATCATACCATAATAAAGGTACTGAAAGGATGTATATAATAAAGATATATTTACAAGCTGGACAATACAAAAATATAAGTTCCTTTCCTAAGAGAGAGAACACCTACTGTACAGGCTAGTTTTATGTCAACTTGTCACAAGCTAGAGTGATTTTTCGAGAAAGGAATGTCAATTGAGAAAAAGCCTCCATAAGATGGGCTGTAGGCAAGACTGTATTTTCTTAATTCGTGATTGATGGGGGAAGGCCCAGACCATTGTGGGTGGGGCCACCCCTGGGCTGGTGGACCTGGGTTCTGTAAGAAAGCAGGCTGAGCAAGCCAGAGGGAGCAAGGCAGTATGCATCACCCCTCAACCGCCTCTGCATCAGCTCCTGCCTCCAGGATCCTTAGCCATTTGAGTTCCGGTCCTGCCTTCTTTCGATGATGAACAGTGATGTGGAAGTGTAAGCTAAAGAAGCCCTTTCCTCCCCAAGTTGCTTTTGGTTATGGTGTTTCATCACAGCAATGGTATCCCTGACTCAGACACCTACCTTTGGGTGTAGGAAGACCCTCCTACTTCCCAAAGCCAACCTAGCATGAATGAGCACTCCAAAAGTGATGTTACAGGCTTATGTAGTAGCTGACCTTGAGTTAGGCCATATATTAGGAAGAAGCCACAGCATCTGGAGCATGGCAGGGCTTCACTAGATTTCTGTGGAGGGTTCTAGAAAGACAGAGACCACAAACATTTTTATTCACCACTTCAGGAGTAGAGAGATAAAGCTAAAGGATCTGGAGGAAAAACAAAGGTGCAAGTGCCCCGCCCTCGGGCTTTGTACGCGATTCGCGTTTGCAAAGCAAAACAGACCTTCCTTCCCCACAACTCAAAACCCGGGCCCCTGGCTCAGAAACTAGGCCCTGGAGCGCAGTCGCCACCGTGCCAAGGGCGGCGCTTCCCTCGCTTGCAGCCGGGCTCCTGTTACCTCCCTGCACACATCTGTGCCCACTACAAGCCAAACAATTGCGCGCTC